GGTTTTAATGAATATTTTCCTGGTTACTAATGAGGATGAGTATTACTGACAAGGATGAGTATCTTCTCACATGTTCTTCTTCATTTGAAATGTTTACCCATATCTTTTACTCTTTTTTTTTTTTCTTTAGAAATTCTGGGTTAACATTTTTTAATTTTTTTTTTTTTTTTTTCTTTAGAAATCTGGGTTAACATTTTCTAATTTCTTTGTAGGCAATAAGATTTGGATACAAATTGGTAGTCAACTATACCTGCTACAAATATGTTCTAAGTATGGCTTTTCTTTTCTCTCTTTAGGTTGTATTTTTTTTTTTTTGTCTTTTGTCTTTTTCCGTGTCCGGCAACGGATCGCAACCCTCAGTGTTGCCCCCGTACCGGACCAGGGACCGGCAATGGGATCGCAACCCTCGGTGTTGCTCCCGCGCCTCGCTCAGCCAGTGAGCGGGAACCGGTCTGTATGTGGGATCCGAACCCTCGGGCGGGAGTGCCGCCGTGCTTCCCAAGCGGCACACTATCCAGTGCGCCACCGGGCCGGCCTTTTTAGGTTGTATTTTGATTTGATTTACAGAACTGTAGCATCTATACTTGCTCTTTTCCCTAGATCTCCCATTTACTAAGTTCACTAATTCAGTTCTCTAAGGGCACCCACTTTGACTCTGCCTTTGTGGCACCAAACTAGCTGTACCCATAACTTTCTGAGCTTAGTTCTAAGGCTGGATCACCTCCAACATGCACTTTCCCTACTCCTACTTTCAGCCTCTCACCACTCCTCTCTATTTTGCACACTGCTATCACATTTGTATTCTTATGCACCATATTTACCACACCATAACCCTTGACTAAAAAGCGTCAGTGGCTTCCTTTAACTAAATACCTGTGCTACCACCTTCCACCTTCCAATATATATCGAAAAAAAAAAAAAGGAAAAATAATCACAGCATTCTTTCCAAAAGAGTAGCCAGAATCCTTCCCAACAGAATGTTTCAGTGACCAGTACTAATCAGTAGGAACCGGCACTCAGGAAGAACCCATAAATATCCTTCATATAAAAAGTGAAGTCTAAACTCATTGCTTTGTATTTCAAAACTCCAAAATGCCTCCTATTACTCTCCCAAACTGTTATATATATTATCTCCTATAAATCTATAGGGGAAAAAAGGTGAAAGGCTTTGAAATGGAGCAAAAACTTACTAGGTGTCTTCAAAGGAAAACTAGGTTTTGCCTAGCACACCCTTCTGGTTTTCTCCCTCTATGGGATCTCTGAACCTGCCGTTGTCTTTGAGTTATTTATAACTCTGTTAGTTGTAGATAACTGATAGCAATGCAAATAATTCTTGTTCATAAACAGTAAATTTTGTCTGGTGAGGTTCAGTTGATTTCCCTTCTCCGTCATGAAGAAACCAATTTTGCCTCTACTTTAAATTAATTTCAGTATTCATTAGTGCCTATATATGTGTGGTTCTTTGAATGTTCCTTTAAGTTGTTTGTGATATCTTGCTCATTCTCTCATTAATCAATGAGTGAAATAGACACATGTCATAACTTCATTTTATATTTGGATGAGAATCATGAACTTGCCTTTTTCTTTAAATATCCTTTTAACAAACCTTTTCTTCATTACTGCCTTCAAACTTTGATTTACATCTCCAATGAGGACTGGCTTCTCAGGCTGTTTCTACCTGACACTACTGATTCTTCAAATTTCAGAGATAAATCTAAACTTCTCACCATGTCTTCAGACTACAAAACTGATTTTCATGATAAATCTAACCATGATGATGTCTTAATTTATTCTACAATGATCTTTTCTTCATAATAGCTCCTGCAAAATGCATTGTCTGTTTGATTTCCATGCTGTATGTAGTTCATTTTAATCTTAACCATTAATTTATTTATATGTAAGTGATTTCTCTCCTCAATTAGAGTGCAAGTTCTTTGAGGGCACTGATCTCAACTATTTCCTGTTTTTCCTCCTCAGTGTCAGCACAGTTCCTTACATACTGCCCAATAAATATCCATGGCTGAGTCCAATCCATCACCCATGAGCTGGAAGTCTCAATCAGATTTTCTTTCCAGGTGATCACTTAGCGTTATCTGGGTAATCAACCTGCTATATTTTGGCTGAAGGTGGTTCCATCTCAGGAAAATTCACACTAAAGTTTAGTAAAGATGATCAGAGCTTCTGTGAAACACCAAATAGAATACAGTATTGATCAGAAGGACTAGGAAATAAAGAATAAACTGATGTGCTTCTGGGGAATTTTTTCCCTCAGTTACTGGACTGTTTATACCTGTATTCCTAAGTACGGTCTTATGTGAGGGTAATATAAGTTCAGTTTGATATTCATTCTTTAATTCTACAAATGTTCATTGATTATCCACTATATATCAGAAATTTTTGAGACTCCGGGGACGCATTTGCAAATGAAATGTAATTTCTAATCCAAGAAGCCTACCTGCTAGTGTGAAGGAGAGGAAAAAGTTGAGGAAGAAGAGGAAAAATGGACACAGGATTGTGGCCTAAGCATATAGATAACGGGTGGCAAGCCAAATCAAGTTTCTCATTATAATGAAAAGACCATCTTATTTTCAGGTATTATAATTACTAAACCTTCAAAGTCAATCTATCGTAAATACTCCTGATAGAATGATGAAATTTCAGACTTTTGCAGATTTCTATCACCATGATATGAGTGCACCCTACATGAAACATCTTATGTACCCTTAATACCAACTCAACCAAATGTGGACCATCATACTTTCCTATGGTTTAAGTGCTGAGACTTAAGAGAATAATAAATGATCTTGAGATTGCTTCCAGCATATTTAATTTTATGAACTATGAAATACTTTACCAGTTGAATAATCTACCAAGTATATTAAATTTTGCTCCTTATAATGCCCCATGAAGTCAAAGGACTTCATAATATTTGAGCATTAACATTATTACTGAGCATTTTAATTTTTATGGTTTTATGTATAATTATTTCAAATTAAAACTATCTCGAGAAAACTGCTACTATAAAAAAACTAGTCCATTTAAGCAATTTTATTTTTTTCATGATGACTTTTTATTTCTACCTTTATTCCTAAGGGAAAGGCTTAGAACAAGGCATTTAAGATTATACTCAATAGTACTTTCTTAGTAAAGAGATTGGATAAATAAAAAAGACTAACAAATATTTATAAAAGTTATAGGTTTTTTTGTTGTTCTTGATATAACTGTCAGATTCGCATAGCATATCAGTAGAATTCAAATGATTAAATAACAAATAACAAGCAATCACATAATGATAATGATAACCTAACATTTGTTTGGTCCTAAATATTTTCACATGTATTTTTCTCTCTTAATTCTCACAACAACCTGATAAACTAGTTTTCATTATAACCATTTTTACAGATGAAAGAATCAATAAAGAAATGATTGCTAAGTGTGTATAAATGGTATTTTGTACACTGGATCTAGATCCTTAGACTAAAAAATTCAGTTTTTGTTCATAGTTTTAAAAAAGACACTTAATTCACAAGCCAAATCCTGCTGGCAAGACACTTCCTAAGGGTAAGTAAAACATATGTGGAAGAACACTAAACATTTTATTCACCTACAATGTCATCATACTGAAACTGAGAAGGTCAGTGTACTTTCTAAATGGCCCAGTTCAGTCTAGGGAAGAAGTTATTTACCCACTAGGGTCTGGACATATCAATCAAAATCACTTGCTTATACATTACTAAAATGTGCCTTATTAGCCTCTTTCCACCTCTCACACTCACAAAATAAATATTTTATTCTTTATGAGCCTTATTGTTTGAAGGATTTTGTTTCCTTATCATTAAAAACATAAAAAGAGGAAAAAAAAAAAATCACTGCCAGTCCCAAGACATTCTTACTACTCTTACTGTGTATTTTCTTAAGGTTTTTTCCACTGCAAAAATATGCATATTCAAGATTTACATCGCACTGTCTATACATCTTTATATGTCACTTTTTTTCCACATAACAGCATCGCAATATTTATATTTTTGAAAATATGACTTTTTATGGCTGCATAATATTTCACCATAAGGTGGTACAATAATTTATTTACTGTTCTTCCAGTTCATATGGTTTTTATTATAACGATGTTTATAAAAGTAATATAACCATATTTTATAAACTTGAGAAATAGAAAGGAATGAAATTACAACTCAATTCTTGTCTAACAAGCTACTAGTTCATACTCATGAACTAGCGAAACTCATTTTTGCTCACTTTTTTTTATATGCCTATATGTTATCATTAAAGTACACACAATTTTATATCTTGAATTTGTTTCCATTTAACTGTATATAATAAGTTTTTTCCATAACCATTGTGGCATGTTGGATGGAAATTCCACACTTTACCTAACCATTACTTTATTGCCAAACAGTGAAATTGGCTTCTTTTTTAATTTAAAAATAAATTTCTAAGAAATATGATAAGCATGTAATCTTTACATCTATGCACTTAAAAAAATTATTTCCTAATACTAGATTCCTACAAGTAAGATTATTCAGAAAAAAACAGATGAGATTTTATCATTCTTTTCTTGATATTGGTGAAAACAATGTTAAAAAAATATGAATGTCGAAAACCTGAAATCCAAAGTATAATAGCATCCTGATCTCAGTTTCTTTCAACCGGTCCTTTTAGTGATTGTGAAATTCTGAAACAAATACATGAGGTATTAATTATATTTAAACTAATTATGTTTTCCATAAATTAATATATCTTGGCATCATCAGTCCTGAGAGAGCAGTGACCACTTAAATATGCTCACATTTTTATTTTTAATTTCTTCTTTCATTTTAAAAGTCTGTATCCACATACCTTTTAGATATGGTTAATTCATTTTCCCCTTTGAATCTTAGATGTAGGTTTAGAAATGCTTTCTGGAACTGCTTCCTTTGGTATGCTCTGAAATCCACATCAGGAGACAGCAGTAATGCAAGAAGAAAGAAAATGCCCCAACTTACCGTTTCTAATGCAATTACACGGTCCTGCAAATAAAGCATAATATACAATTATAAAACCAAAGCTATTAAAAATCAAGTTTACTTTATTTTTAGGTTTTCTATTTACCTTCTACTAGTAATAATTTATTTTTAAAATGTAAAAAGTAAGAACTCCTACTCAGAAAGATCTCTACAATAAAAAAGTAGACACAAAGGAATCACTACACCTTTTCCCATCTCATCTAATGTTAGTACTACAGGCATTAATTTAACAGTAAATACCATCAATTTAGGCACTGTCACTGAAATAAATAGGTCTTACTACTTTTGCATTGGTAAAATTATTTACATATATAAGGATATATAATATAAAAGATTTAAATACATGAATCACACAACCAGACAACAGTAGTGAAATAAAAAAGGTATGCAGTGAAGAATGTGATTTCACAGGAAGGTAAAATTCAGACATCAGAATAACTTCATCAATGAAAATTAGTAAGCAAATTGTTATTGAAAACAAGGTAGGAAAATATATGAGATAGATATGCCACATGCAGCCAATCCTGAACCCAGACAGGCCTTCATTCTCCATAGCATATTAGAAGGTTTACAGAAATACTGGTTTAAGAAGGGGTCATTGACAACACTGCTTAAGAAGCTAAATGATTTAAGAAAATGGTTGCACTCTCAACTCACTTGTATTATCAGCTCTTTCCAGAGCTGACAGCTAAAATAGGAAGTCTTTACTAAATAAAAAACACTGAATTTAAGAAAAAGCAGTCTGAAGATTTAAGAAAATGGAAAGTCATCTTTTTTAGGAGGGTCAAGTCATTTGTCTTTCTTTTCTCTTATTTTAAGAATTGGAGGAAATCTTGTGGAATCTGAATTTTTTTGTTTAATCAAATCAACTAATTATTTATCCTAAGAAGTAAAGAGGGGAAAATGGTGCAGAGAATGACTCAGCTCAGGTCTGTTGTGGCCCAGCAGGGACCCAGAAATAACAAACTGGCTCTCACCTGCATTCTCTCAGAGGAGTCACCTCAACAGAGGGCTCACCTCTGACGACTTCTGCAACTGACCTCCAACCCTGCAACTGGGAAACTGAGTTGAACATTCCTATCCTGAAAACATTTGGCTATGTGGGCATGAGTTAAATGAATACATTATGCAAAATCAGCCCAAAGCAGACTGTTTTTAGCAATATAATCTGTTCAATTGCATTTTGTTGGCATACTTGAGAGGACCTCACCCTCACCCTTGTAATTTTCACAAAAATAACTGCTATTTTGTTGGTGACTTGTATATTGTCACATTTGAACACCTCAAAATAAATGCATATGATGCCTCAAGGGGGCTTTGATATGTTGTTACCAGGCATCTTATTCACAGGGCATCTGGGACGAAACCATTCAGCAATGCTTTATCATCCTTTGCAGATTCAACAGAACCTCATTAGATGCCTTATATAGACAGAAACAGCCTTCGGGCAGTATCACATTTCAATGAACCATCTTGGAAGACTCAAAATATTTACAGCCCCTATTTTGGCTTAAGTCTTCTTCATGCTGGGGACTTGTGGGCTGGTATTATTCAGGATTAACATATTTTAAAAGCACACATAGAGTCGGCTTGAAATAGTTGATTTTGTTTGATGACAAAGCAGTAGAAATGAAATAAATTCAGTCTGAATTAATTTATATCTCAGTGTTTGGCACAGATAAGCTGATATAATTTGTGCATTAGTGTCTTTGTTTTACTTAAATATTTGTTATGCTATTTAAAAAGAAATATGTGCCTAGTCTATAAGACTATGGGCTCAAATGGTCAAAGCACTCCAGTTTGTAAAAACAGAACAGTCAATAAATAATATATTTGGCTACAATTTACTTACGTTTGTTTGTCTATAACCTAATTCACTCCAAAATAGTAGAGACAGCTTTCAATGAAAAATGCATATTTTAAAAAAAAATGAGGGAATTAGAGAAATAGGAAATTCAGTTTATTAACATAAATTTCAGTAATGGGATTTGCCAGTCAACAATAGCTAAGATAACAGCCACTGATGCCAATTAGCAAGCTTTGTCTAAATTGTAGTTTTTAAACAAGAAGAAACCATTCCTAGTCTCTATGAACTTATTGCTTGATTTTAAAATTTAATAAATGTATTTTGAAAAATTTAAAGGGTGTAGGGGACATGTTTTTTGGCAGACAAGATTAGTTATTATATATCTGTATGTAAAAGAATTAGGCTACCATGTATCCTTGTTCTCCAACAAATGATTTGCATACTTCCTCTCATGTTCTTGCTATTAAAATAGAGGCAACTTAAGCTAATATTGTGGCTTTGATACAGCTCATGAAAAAACAATGCCAGTATATGTCCTAGAATGAATGTAAAATGACACCAAAATAAACTCTATCCTCCTCAACCTCGCATACCCTACCTTGAACTGCAGTTGTAGTTTTCTTCTTTTAATCTCCAATTTTCATTTCAACAGATTTTATTTTCAAGCTCAACCTGCAGGTTCAACACTCCCCCACACCATCCCCCACTGCCACCCTCCCAGTCCTAAGACTGGGTCCTGAAAAGAAAAGTGTTAAGATATCAAAAGGGGGGTTAGGAGGTGGGAAGACAATCTCCAGAAGTGAACTAAAGACATTCTCACTACATCATGCTATTTCAGGTGGTTTTACAAAATCAGTGGCTCTCATTTTTGTAGTCACGGACTTTGAGAATCTGATGAAACTTGATCTTCTCTCCATGAAAATGTACATCATATACAAAACAAACACAAATGTAATTTTGTATATACTTTCAGAGGAAAATGCAGACTCTCTGATGCCCACCCATAAGCCTCAAACAAAAACACCTAAAATAAGATGTAAGAATGTTATACAAAGAAATTATTTTATTATCCCAAATCTATTTATTTCTCCTTTATGTTTCTAGATAAATAACAACAGTAAGAAGGAAAGAAATAATTATGACTGTGAGAGCCCAGGACAGAAGTGAAATACTAGTCTAAGAGGAAGGGGAGGGTTCAACAAAAATAGAAATATTTTGAAGAAAGAGTTTTCTGAGGAAAAACCTGCTCTTTTGCTATTGGTTTTTTTTTTGGGGGGGGGGCGGGGATTTGATAGTCCCTTTCCTACAATTCTTCAGTTCTAAGAAACACCAAAAATGGTAACAAATAATTACTTTAATGTCTGCTGTTGATGATTGCACGTGTTCACTGCATAGTCATTGAGTTACAATGAAGAGTGCTCACAGCTGTTCTTATCAATAAACAACACTACATCTACTTTCTAAATGAAAATAATGCTCTTAGACATCATGTTTTAATTTATTCTGGCTTGACAGATCGAGTGGGGAAAGTTATTTTGGGGGGAAGCATATGTATTATAAAAAAAGATGTATTTTAACTGTAGTTTTGTCTTGTTTTTTTGGTGGCTGGCCCAGGGATCTGAACCCTTGACCTTGGTGTTATAAACCCTTGACCTTGGTGTTATAACACTGTGCTCTAACCCACTGAGCTAACCAGCAAGACGCTATTTTACGTTTTTGTGATGAGGTTAGTAACTTGCCTTAGACAATATATATTCATTTGCTACTTAGTCACAATGGGGTGTACATGAAAATCTACAAATGAACCAAAGCAAATTCATTAGCATCACTGGAAATGAGCACATATTCGTAGGATAAGTTAGGAAATGAGCACTAAACGGATCATTGGTATCTGAATACATGATCGTTGACAGTTTATTTGATTCCGTTGAGCCAATCAATTAGTCTCATTGATTCATCCATCACATCTAACAGATGAATTAGAAGCTTATAGATCTAAATAATCAGAATTCTTCTGCCTCTGGTAAGTACAGTCGAACAGGTCTAGTAACTTTATGTTATCACAGTAATGCAGAATTTTCCAAGAATGCTTTAAATATGTCATTAGCATAGGAAAAAGCACAACACTGGCATAAAAATATAACAAGGGTCTCTATTTTTTCCAAGTCAAAGAAGCTTTAAGAGTATAAAATAATTCTGGAAACTTCTCTAGGACTGAAGAGCCATAATAAACATATAATTTTCAAAAAGAAAAACTCGCAATGAGGACTCCTTCCCAACACTGTTCTAAAAGCACAAAGCTTCTTTTCTGGAAGAAAAATCCACTTAGTTTCATCCTGTGGTACCACTGCATGGTATTCTTCCTGTCAATGTCAACTCTGTTTAATCAGCACTCACAGTTTACCTGCTACTTCCTATATAAAGGATACAGAATGAAACGCAAATATGTACATTTTTTCTTCTGGCATTTCCCCATGACAATCCGTTACATTTAACAATTTGCATGTCATATTTTAATAATTAAAAGAACTAGAAATAATTTCAAATAGATTCTTTTCCAAACTTCAAGATAGTAAAAAGAATGAAAAGGCTTTGGTTAACCATCACAAAAAAAAATCAGCATTTCATATAGTGATCTAAAATAAATTAGAACAAAATAAAAACATAAAATTCACATCAAAAAAAGCTTTAAAATATAGCACAAGTTGGCTTTGAAAATACCAAATGCAGTAATGATCTATACATAAAATTGCATGTTACCTATTCAAAGTCAGACAACAATACACTTAACAAAAACTCTAGGATGGCATTAAAGCAGTTGGCATTGCTTTCTCAATCATCCCAATGTTCGATTTAGCTATTATTAGATACCTGTAGTCAATTTTTGTTAAATCATTAAGCTAACTGCTTACATGTCTTTTTCAAATAACCCACTTTAATGCCCAAAATAACAAAACAGAAATATTAGAAAAACAAAAAACAAACAAGAAAAAACACAGCAAGATGTCAAGATTTTGTCTAAAAAAAGTCAATAAGAAAACCCCAACAAACTGACAGTTTAAAAGGATATTCATGTCCTAGAGTACCCAGTAATTGTTCCTCCTTTTCACTTTGGGTGTGGCAAA